AAGTACTGTTCAAAATTCATTATCAATATTAACTCAAAATGATAACTCATCTTTATAACACCTTATAAATTTGAAACTATTATTATTCCTATCTATAGAAAAACCTAATTATAGCAATTTATTTCAAAATATTTTTCTTCTAGAACAAAATAGGGCTTTTGTTCCCCAAATAGCTTCCTCTCTTTATTTTATCATTCTGCAGTTTACATCGAGAAAGAATTTGAAATGTAATGGCTAAAGGTTTTATCCTAGTAAAAACAACAAAGCAGATTGATTTCAGTCAAATCTTTGAAGCAAATGGATTAGCCCTACACAAAATGCTCTGTGATCAGAGATGCCCTTGTGATTTCTAAATAGCATAAGTTTTAATGAAGGAAAGCTCTCTGTCGTCAAAGCAAAAGGCATCAAGTTTTTTGTTTTTGATTCACTATGTCTCTTGAACAGTATAGCTCTTTTCTCTAGTTTCAAAGCGTATATAGTTAAAAATACTTTGATTTTAGTCTTACCACTTTCTAATAAACATAATGAAAATGTGCCATTCCCTACTCTTAGCAGGAAAGACATGTTCTTGATATATTTTATCACACTTTATTTCTCCAGGAAATTTTTCTAAAATTTCTCATTTATTTTTCTACTTCAAGGTTAGGCCAAAAAACTTCTTGGAAAAAATACTCCAAAATGGTAAACTGTTCTGCCTTATTCACACCTTGCAAGGCACACAATTAACCCAAGTGTGATACTGTCTAGTAAACTATGCCTAGGTTTGTTCTGAAAGTTCATGGGTGCAAGTGATAGAGACAGAAAAGGGCCAGGAGCAGGACTGATGTTCCTTGTCTGAGCAGAAAGGTAGCTTTGAGAAAAGTCTTGCAAATTTAAGTTTTATTTTGTGTTTTCATATTTGAAGTTCTAGCTATGTACCAGATGCTTAACATTCACATAGGAATTATCATCAGGATTAAGCAGTAGGTAAAAGTTTATTGTAGGCAAAGGCATATCACATTTGAGTCCAGATCTCCTTCTTAGAGAAGTTAATTTATCTGGTACTAAAATTCTATAAAATTGCATTGAATTCAGGGGAAAATAACATTGAGAGCTAAGATGTCAAAAAATATGAACATTTTGTTAATTTGCCTCTCACACTAATACATTTGAGGTTGTTCTTTTAGCAATATCTAACAGCAAACACCACCATGGTCCCGAGACAATTGGCCCCAAGGGATTCAACCTCAAGACCAGCCCCTGAGTTGTGTGTGCTAAGGGCCCAGAGGAAGATAACCCTTAATGTCTAATTTGAGAATTCATTCATTGAGCCCATTACAAACCAAGCTTCATGCTTTCTGATAATATATGCACTGTTTTGTAAACTTAGATCACTGAGTGTAAGGTGATATAACTACAGAAATAGCAATAACAGCTACTGCTTATTTCATGCTTCCTATGTTCCAGACACTCTAATAAGTATTTTGCAATTATTCATTATCTTTTTTTTTTTTTTTTTTTTTTTGAGAGAAGTCTCACTCTTGTCCACCAGGCTTGGGTGCAATGGCTCGATCTCAACTCACTGCAACCTCCGCCTCCTAGGTTTAAATGACTCTCCTGCTTCAGCCTCCCAAGCAGCTGGGATCAAGGTGTCTGCCACCATGCCCAGCTAATTTTTGTATTCTTAGTAGAGACAGGGTTTCACCATGTTAGCCAGGTTGGTCTCGAACTCCTGACCTCAGGTGATCCACCCGCCTCGGCCTCCCAAAGTGCTGGGATTACAGACGTGAGCCACCGTGCCCGGCCTAATTATCTTTGTTTTAATAAATGGGGAGAGTGAAGCCTGAGAACTTGAGCAAATTGTTCAGGGTAGCAAAATTAGTGAGAAAGTAAGGACTGAAACCCTGGAAGTCTCCTTCAAGGATCCATATCTTAACCACACAATTGTGGTCAAAATCTTATTTCTAACACAGATAATGAGACCTCCCGTCCTTAAAATGGACACCCAAACATCATCCATGCTGTTCATAGCAATTCTTAATAAGCAGTTCACCCCTATATATTTATGTTAGTTGTATATTACCAGGTTTTGGTAATATACAACTGGCTCAAGGTCTTCCGGAGGGTTGATTGGGGCTGAAGATCTGTTCCTAAACTGGCTCATTCACACAACCTTGGTTTCTTACCACACATACCTCTTCCTAAGGCTACTAAGTCATCTAGCAGCTGATTTCCTCCAAGGCAACTGATGGAAAAAGACAGCAAGGAAGTCTGGGCATGATGGCTCACGCTTGTAATCCCAGCACTTTGGAAGGCCAAGGCGGGTGGATAACCTGAGACCGGGAGTTCGAGACCACCCTGACCAACATGGAGAAACCCCATCTCTACTAAAAATACAAAATAAGCCAGGCGTTGTGGAGCATGCCTGTAATCCCAGCTACTGGGGAGGCTGAGGCAGGAGAATTGCTTGAACCTAGAAGGCAGAGGTTGCGGTGAGCCAAGATCGGCCACTGCACTCCAGCCTGGGCAACAAGAGTGAGAGAAAAGAAGGAAAAAAGAAAGAAAGAAAGAAAGAGAGAGAGAGAGGAAGGAAGAGGAAAAGAGAGAGAGGAAAAGAGAGAGAGAAGGAGAGAGAGAGAGAGGAAAAGAGAGAGAGGAAGGAAGGAGAGAGAGAGAGAGAGGAGGGCAGAGCCCTGTGTCTTTTGTGACCTAACCTCAGAGATCACAGACAATTAGTTCTGTTTTATCCTGCTCATTATAAATGGGTCACTAAGTCCAAAACAATCTCAGGGAGGAAAATTAGTCTCTATCCTTGAGAAGAGTGTCAGCCAGGCGTGGTAGCTCACACCTGTAATCCTAGCACTTTGGGAGGCTAAGGCGGGCGGATCATGAGGTCAGGAGATGGAGACCATCCTGGCTAACACGGTGAAACCCCATCTCTACTAAAAACACAAAAAATTAGCCGGGCGAGGTGGCGGGCGCCTGTAGTCCCAGCTACTCGGGAGGCTGAGGCAGGAGAATGGCCTGAACCCGGGAGGCGGAGCTTGCAGTGAGCTGAGATCCGGCCACTGCACCCCAGCCTGGGCGACAAAGCGAGACTCCGTCTCAAAAAAAAAAAAAAAAAAAAAAAAGAGTGTCAAAGATTTTTGGACATATTTTAAGCCTGCCACAACATTTAATCTAATTCAGCTGGAGGAATTTCTGTTTTTCATTGTCCAATTGTCTATTACCAAATTTTTATTTTATCTTATAATTCTCAAAACTGTCTACTTACTTACATCTCATCTTACCCTACAGGCTTTATGTCATCGTTTCTTTCTGCTATTCTGACTCCACTACAATGTACCCAAACATGCTGAGCTAATCAGGGCTGGAAACTGATTGGCTGTCGTTAGGTCTAAATGTCAGGGTCCGGGTTCAGCCCATGTTGAAATCCGAGGGGACTGAGTGGATGGGTAGATAGAACACTCGGGGGTCCATAGGCAGGCGAAATGTAGTTTTATTCGGTAGTTTTCTCATTAGTAGTTTACTCCCATCAGTTCTTTCACACTGTCCACCTTTTATCTCAGCTGTTTGCTCCGACTCTGCGGCGCCGCCTGCCCCCACGCCTGTAGCCACACTGCCGGCTCTCCCTTGTCTTCAGGGTCGGTAGTTTAACTCTTTCTCTCTCTGGGCACTCGTGTGAGTTGTGCTGTGGTTCACCTCTGTCCATCTGTAACAGTTCTGGCTTTCTTTCTTTCTCTGGGCACTGGTGTCTGTACAAGAGTCATGTTGAGCCCGGTGCACAGTGTCAGTAGGACACACAACAGTGGTTCAGAGTCAAGTATGAACTTACACAAACAGGTTATGTAACAAGTTGAGGTGTGTGTCTGTGTGTCAAACTTGTTAAGTCATATAGGCCTGGATATCCGTCTCAGTCTATTCTTTGACCAAAGTATATCTGTGAACCTTACAGCTGTGTTACTGAACTTGTGTCTGCCTACCTGGCATAGTAAAATCAAATGCTGACATTGGGAGTGCAGTGAGAGAAGACAGGGCCTTTACTACAGGGCTCCAAGCAAGGAGAATCAGGCAACTAAGGCTTAGACTCAAACACCCCAATGGCTCACAGTAAAAGCTTTTAAAAGCAGGCAGGCAGAGGTTACAGGCAGCGTCATAAATCAACACATGGAGGCTATGCATTGGTTTGACTTAAAAGGTGGGACATCTCAAAGTGGGGGCCCACAGGTCACATGTTGACGCAAAGATTTCCTGATTTGTGATTGGTTAAGGAGGCAAAACTTTGTCTAAAAATTTGGAATCAGCAGAAAAGACTGTTAGCTCCAGCCCGTGGGTGTGACTTCCTCCGGGCCTCTCAGGAAGAAACTTAAAAGAAAGAACGGTGGTCTTCAGTTCCCCTTATCTGAGGTCTACGTGCCAGTGAATCCATTTAGTGGGGGTCCAGGTTTCTGAAAAACAACTCAGGGACATACGTTATCTTTAGTTTCTATAGGGAACCAGACTTCTTGTGGCCTTGACTGTTGTTTTAAGCTACTTACCTTCTTGCTTATTCAGTTGCTTATTTACTTCTCAGGGTTAAGTGCCCAGAATTTGTCTTGAAGGAACTCAAGATTTTCCTTTATTTTCATCCTTGGGCCAGGGGGTCGGCAGGCCCCCAAGAGGCATCCCTGTTCTGCCTCAGCTTTTCCAAGTAATCATTCATCCCTATGGTGAGGCTCCTCATCAGAAGAAACACAAAAACAGTCTCTTGCCTGAGCCCTGCCCTGTTGCCATGTGATGTCCTGAATATTCTGTTCCCATTACTTTGACCAAATTGTCAAGTAAACAAAGTTTATTTCAGACTCTGATAGCCAGCGCTTCTTCTTGGATCACAGGCCCCAATTTCCCACACAGGTGTGCCCAGTCGTCAGCTGGCCTTTCCATCTCTTCATCCTCCAGGGCTATCTCCTCCAAACCTCCCTGTCACCTGGAGCTAATGGAATAGACTGAGTCAATCTAAGTCACAGTTTTTCTGTCTCAGCACTATGCGCATTTGCTGTTGGATAATTCCTTGTTGGAGAGGGCCATCCTGTGAGTCGTAGGATGTTGAGCAGCTTCTCTGTCCTCCACACGTGAGATGCCACTAGAACTTCCCAGCCGTGGCAAATGTATCTCCAGACACTACCAAATATTCCTTGGGGTGCAAAATTACCCTAGGTTGAGGACCACTGATCTGAGATATTATGACTAAAATTGGCTGAGTAAAATACATGAACCTTATCAGATAAAACATACGCAGGGATGTTCAATGCTTCATCTAAAAGAGGTAATCAATGATATTTGGAGATGAGCAAAAAAGATTTCTGTAGGATGCAATTATTTAATTTAGGTGGTTGTCTCTTCTGCTGCGGTTTGTCCCTTTTTTGTCCACCAGCTGATTTCTGGGAGAGTAGAGAGGTTCTGCACAGCAGGCTACGTTTTATTTTCTCAAGGTTGCAAATACTTGAAGGATCTGGAACAAAGTGGAGGAAAAAGAAAACAAGGGGAAGTAGAATGGGACAGTATAAATAGTAAACTTGTTTTTTTTTAATGAGTTTATTTTAGAGTATCTAGGGGATGTTAATCTTTCTTTTTTTTTTTTTTTTTTTTTTTTTGAGACAAAATCTCACTCTCTCACCTGGGCTGGGGCACAGTGGCCTGATCTTCAGTCACTGCAACCTCCGCCTCCTGAATTCAAGCGATTCTCCTGCTTCAGCCTCCTGAGTAGCTGGGATTACAGGTATGTGCCACCACAGCCAGCTAATTTTTTTTTTTTTTTGTATTTTTGGTAGAAACGGGGTTTCATCATGTTGGCCAGGTTGGTCTCAAACTCCTGGCCTCAAGTGATCTGCCTGCCTCGGCCTCCCAAAGTGCTGGGATTATAGGCATGAGCCACCGTGCCCGGTCTAGTCTTCATTTTTTTAAGTTAACCTTTACTGAGTGGTAACAATGCACCAGTCACTTTGCAAACATTTTGTCAAAATATTAACTCATTTAATCTTTGTTAACAAACCTGTGCCATAAATATTATTATACTCCTTTGACACATGAAGAAGCTGAGACAGAGTGATATTATCTTGTTTAATAACTAATCAGGGAAAAAATGCTTTCAAAGTTATCTCTCCTACTCTATTCTCCCTCAGGGCTTTGTTTTTGTTCCTCTAGTACTTCTCACTTTTCTCCACACTGATTCATGCTAAGCATTGAAGACTTGAAAAGAATCGCATGCACATGTACATCTAGCTCTCTATTATCTGAAGGGAAATAATAGAACCTAGAATCAGGAAGAAAAATGACCTAAGTAGAGATGCCAGCACTTCAGTGACTAGGAAATTGGCCCAGACTTCAAGGGGGTTGGGAGGAGATAGGGCCAAGAGAAGCTAGCAGGAGATCAAACTAGAAGGGATCAAAATTGGAGAGTACCATAAGATAAAAAGAGGTATTTCTCCACAAAAGAGATAGGTATATTTAAGACAAAATTTGAATTTGAGTAAAACTTGGCCTAAGGCCTTGAGGAAAAATAGGAATTATCTTTAAAAACAAAATTATTGTTAGCATTAAAATGTACCTAAGAAAATGTAATTCATTGATTACTCCATGAATAATTATTAAGTACCTACTTTTTGTGTCCAGCCTAGCCAGGTGTATCACACTGCTCACCAGCCCACCTTCTCAAAAGCCTTCAGCAGCTCTCCGCTGCCTCCTTAGCCTAGTAACAAAGGGCTTCTCTTGTCTGACCCCCATCCTGCCTTCTCAGCCTCACCTTTGCTCTTGATGCACAAAACCAAGCTACTTGTATTTTCCTTGAAATGTCTTTCCTACTTTTCAACTCACAGTTTCCTCTGCTTAAAATGCACTTTTCCTAGTATCCTGCTCTATTACAATTTTATCATCCCCCAAAGCTCAGATCAAATATCCTCTCCTCCATGACCCAATCTCTAATTCCAATTGGAAATAGCCTCTAACTTTGATATTCCACAGTACCCAGTTTTGCCTCTCTGAGGAACTTTAGGAGCTTCTATAATAAGCTGTATATCTGTTTATCCAGCTACTAAACAAACTCCTCAAGGGGAAAGAACAAGTTTTACTCATCTTCGTTCTACAAACTTTGAAAATCATATGTGTTCAATAAACATTTGGTGACTCAAATTGAGATGAGTGCTTGACACCTTCGTTTTTAAAGATGAAGCAAATCCTAAGCCAGCATAAAAATTTTTACTTTTTGATATATTCTGCCAAAATCTTAATAACATTGGCATTTGTAGAGCACTTTTTAATTTCTGAAGTGCTTTATAAATATGCTCTAATTAACCCTTCAAAGGCACTGGTCTTGTCGTATCAGGTAACGGAGTGATGATTTCATACCCCTTGGAATAATACTACAGAAACTTTCCATGAAGGGGCAAAGTTAGAGGCTTCCCAAAGCACAGGGAAAAGCGGGAAACCAGCAGGCTCCAAACCAAATGGCCTGCCAGTCACCACAGGAGGGGCTGAGTTGGAGGAGGTAAACATTATGAAAAGCAAAGACTTTCTTTTCTGTTTTTTTATTTTTTTTTCTTGTTAGAATTGATGACATTTTATCCCTACTTCTAAGTGCTAATTTTTACAAATTCTAGAATATAATTCAAGTCTTCTGTAGTGTAGCATCATTGTGTATAAAGTAAATATCCCAAATTCAAAAATATAAATTAATGTATATCATTGTATTCGAGAGAGAGAGAGAGCAAGAAACCTCTAACTTTGTTCAGTGCACTGAAGAGCATAATATTACAGAGGTAGCCATCTTCAGGCCAAACCATTATGCAAACATTTAGATTTCTGTACAGACATATTAAAAAAAATTATTCATTTTAACACAAGGAGTCACTAAGGTTTTTCTCTCCATATTACCTGTAGTATATAATTCACAAAAAATTCAGTTTCACATAATTTTTTAGGAACATACCTACTTACTAAATTCAGACACATCTGTACATAGGTTGTAAGAAGAAGTTTCCCTGCCCGAACAGAATCCTTCACACATCCACAGCGTGTCTCAGGGCTTGTGTTTGGCGTAATCCACAGCTGCAGTAGATCCTTTTTCTTGGGAGCCTCCGCTTCTGGCTTCAGTCACACTGTTGCCCTTGTGGGGTTCTTGCAACAGAAGAGCTTCAGGGTCAGATGCTGCATAAAAAGTTTCCCGGTTCTCTCCTATCCTATTCACTCACACCTCTAGGATATCATAGAATTATGTTTAATACAGTTTATTTCAACATTAATTGAACACCTACAGTTTGCTAAACACCGTATCTCCTTTAAATGTCTATGACATTGCCTTGTATTATAGTTAAATGTGTACAAAGGTGTTTCTAAAAACTTGTGGGCATTTTGATCAAAGAGATGATATTATCATCAACATATCTCTTAAGGAGTTTCATGCACACTAAACCCTTTGTTTAAATTTTATAACACTTGAACCCATTTTCCCCTGGAAGCAATGTTGAACCCAACAGCTTTGTTCTGAGGTCAGAGAATAAGGATGTATTCAGTTGACCAAGAAACGTAATCTAGATATTCCATTAAAATTGCTTGTGGCTTTCTAAATTCCTTTTTAAGAAAGCATCTGAAGGAGAGTAGACTGGTACTAATCGGAGGTTGAGGGGGTGAGAGGCAAATGGGGAGATAGTCAAAGGGTAAAAAGCCTCAATTAGATAGGAGGAAAAAAGATTTTTATTTCTTTGAGATATATTGCACAACATAAAGAACATAGTAAATAATAACGTCTTGTGCACTTCAAAATTGCTGAGAGTAAATTTTACCTGTTTTCGCCACAAAAAGTAAATATTTGAGGTAATAGATATGTTAATTTGTTTGATTAAATTATTTCACAACAACTATAATTAGTCAAGTTACAATTTAAAAACTGATATTTTTTTAAAAACTGAAGCTGGGCATGGGGGTGCAATACTGTAATCCTAGCTACTTGGGAGGCTGAGATGGGAGGATTACTTGAACCCAGGAGTCTGAGGCTATCATGTACTATTATCATGTCTGTAAATAGACACTGCATTCCAGCCTAGGCAACATATCGAGACTCCATCCCTAAAAAAAAAACCACAACAACAAACAAACAAAAATCTGAAAGGTAATTTCATGATATGTACATCATTCCTATAAGATCAATATGCAAATTAGTTTTTGTAATGATATCAGACTCATGTATAGTGGTAAAAATTAGAAACAATTACATGTCCAGTAATAGAGAATTATTTATTAAATGTACCAATAGATTATGTTTTCGTCATATGCTAGGACACCATTCAACCATTAAAAATTGTGTTGCACATGGACACAGGGAAGGGAACATCACACATCAGGGCCTGTTGCGGGGTGAGATACAAGGGGAGGGAAAACATTAGGACTAATACCTAATGCATGCGGGGCTTAAAACCTAGATGACAGGTTGATGGGTGCAGCAAACCACCATTGCACATGTATGCCTATGTAACAAACCTGCACATTCTGTATCCCAGAACTTAAAGTATAATAATTTTTTTTAAATTGTGTTGTAAAAATTACCGTATTGTTATGTAAAATTATTGACATATATCATTAAGTGAAAAAAATTAACATTTTATAAATTTGCCTCTCACCCTAAAATATTTAGGTTTCTCTTATGACAATGTTTAACAGGTAATCAACCCTATGATCCTAAGACAATTGATCCTAAGTGCTGTGGTCTCAAGACCTGTCTCAGTATGGATGTGTATGTGTATGTGTGTGTGTACGTGTATGTGTATGCATATGTGTATGCATGTATGTGTACGTGTAAGTGTGTGTGTATGTGTATGTATGTGTATGGCCGAGATCACTCTTTAATGCTTGATTGGGAATTGATTCATTGAGTTCCTGATAATGAGAAAAAGTTATTTGTAGACTTAAATCAAGAAGCTAAACAAACAAATGAAAGAAAAAGGACACAGAGAAAGACAGAAAAAGTGAAAGACCCCCAAAAATTTAGAAAGAAGAATTTAAAAGAAAAAAAAAAGCAGATATAATATTTATTTAAATCAAAGATTTTTAAAAAGCAAAAAATAGATCTTTGGAAAAGCTAATGAAATTGGTAAACCCCTGGAAAAATTGATCAAGACAAAACAAGAGAATGTGAAGACATAAATTGCCGATTTTAGGAATTTTTTAAAAAAGGAATCACTAAAGAGCCTACAGATATTAAAAAGATAACATTAGATGAACAAATTTCTTTACAAGGCCAATTTACCAAAACTAACACAATAGTGAATAGAAAATCTAAATACTCTTATATCTATTAAAGAACTATAGTCCATAATTTAAAACCTTTTCACAAGGAAAACTCCAAGGCCAGGAGAATTCCTTGGTGAATTCTCCCAAATATTTAAGAAAGAAATAACACCAATGTTAAACAAACTCTTCTAGAGATTTTAAAAAGATTGTATACTTCCTAATTATTTTCTCGGGCCAACATAGGCTTGATACCAATACTGGAAAGAATATAACAAGAAAGGAAAATTCAAGTACAATTTTCCTTACATCATAGATGTAAAATATCTAAAAATATTAGTAAATCAAATTCGATAATAAATAAATATCATGATCAAGTTGGATTTATTATAATTATGTCTAAATATAAAATTAATGAATATAATTAACCACATCAACAAGATAAGGAGAAAAACTATATGGATCATCAAATAAAAATATTTAATAAAAACTTAAAATTGGTTACATATAATTTTAATAAATTAAAAATGGAAAAGAAATTCCTAAGTTAACACAGTCAATGATATCATTCATTAAAAAAGACTATGTAGCAAACGTCTTACTTAAAGTTAAAATATTGTAGTTTTATCCTCTGGTATTAGGAAAAGGACGTCTGCTATTATGACTTTATTCAACAATATAATAGACGTCCTCTTTGCCGTATAAGGCAAGAAAAGTAAAGAGAATGTAGAAGGACTAGAAAGTGAGAAACATAAATGCCATTTTCAAAAATGATATGATTGTGTAGATGGAAAAATGTAAAGGATCTATGATCAATTATTAAAATTAATAGGTAAAATTAACAATGTGACTAGATATAAGGGCATTACAAAAAATTGGTGAGAAATCTGTACCTTCTGCTCAGTTCTGTTGTAAATATAAAACTACTTTTAAAAATAAGGTCTACTAAGGTATTTTTATTCCTTGTAGTAGCCAAAAACAATTATCAAATGAACTTTAAAAAATGTATGTTAACATAAAAAATGTTAACCACCTAGGAATTAATTTATTGAGAGATACGATACACAGAACAACTACAGAAAAAAATAAAAACAAATTAAAGACCAAAATAGGTGAAAGGATATACCATATTCATGGAATACAAGATTCAGTATTTTTAAAATATCAATTTCCCCTAATTTGCTCTGTAGATTCTGTGCAATTCTATTCAAAATTTCACCGGAAATTTTTATGAAGATTGACAAACTGATTTTAAATTTTATATGGGAATTTAAAGGAGCAAGTATGGAGAAGACAATCGTGATGAAAAATAAAATTAAATAACTTAAATAAAATTAAAAAACTTCTACTACTAAATATAAAGACATTACACTACTAAATATTAAGACTTATTATAAAACTTCAGTAATTAAACAATGTGATATTGTTTAAACAAACCATTGGAATGAAATAAGGAGTCTAGAAACAGAGTTTAAATAAATCATCACCTAATTTTCAACAAAGTTGCTACTGCAATGCAGTAGGGAAAGGAAGGACTTTTCAATAAATGGTACTGAAATCCACATGAAAAATATAATGACTCTTAACCCCCCCTCAACCACACACAAAAATCCATCTCAAATGACTCATAGACCACAATATGAAAGACAAAATAGTAAAGCTGTTAGACAAAAGCACAGGAAAAAAATGGCTTTATAAGCTTGGAAAAGTAATGTTTTATTAAGAAAAAAGCAATAACAATAAAGTGAAATATTGATCATTCAGATTTCATTTAAAAATACACTAATTCATCAAAAGATATTACTGAGAGTGTAAAAAGTCAAAGCAAAGTTCCAACATGTAAAGAACTTGGAAGTCATCATCTCCATCCTTAAACAAGAAAAAGGCGAATGAACTGTATATCACCAAATTTTCTTGAACCCATCAGAGAAATTGGATAGCAGGGCAAATTGCCACTCCAAAATCTGGATAAACAGATCCAGGCAGAGAGATACATCACCTGAGATGTGTTTTCCTAGAGCACAAGTCATTAGAAAAGTCACTGGAGCCATAAACTTAAATGGTGATTTTGACAAACTGATGGATTGCAGACTGTCACCAAACAATTTAACTGTATTACCCATATATGAAACAGCCTCAATGAAGGAACTGGGTGCTGAAATAAGTATCTTTGGAATGAGTGAAGTCTGTAATACTAAAGGCAAAAGAAATTGTGCTGTATTTGATAAAGTGTATGGCACAGGGGTAACAAGTTAACAACTCTGATATCATTTAACATGTATATTGGAACTGAACAATTAAATAAATGGATGGCAGGTGGCGGAGCCTGCTTTCTCACTGCTGGAATAGGAAGTTACTGATAACCCGGTGGAAGAGGCTAGAATGATCAATGTGGTAATAAATTCAAGTGTGAGAATAAACTCATTTAGATGAGTGTGAACTAATTGGTATGAAGTCTTTCACTTCACAGGTACAAATGTTTACACATGGGAATACTTGTGAATAATTGTGTACACATAAGTGATATGGTTTGGCTTTGTGTTCCCACCCAAATCTCATCTCAAATTGTAATCCCCATAATCGCCATGTGTTGAGAGGGATCTGGTGGGAGGTGATTGGATCGTGGAGGTGGTTTCCCCCATGCTGTTCTCATGATAATGAGTGAGTTCTCATGGGATCTGATGGTTCTGTGTTTGACGGTTTCTCCTTCACATGCTGTCTCTCCTGCTACCTTGTGAGGAAGGTGCCTGCTTCACCTTCCACTATGATTAAATTCCTGAGGCCTCCCCAGCCATGCAGAACTGTGAGTCAATTAAACCTCTTTTCTTTGTAATTGCCCAATCTCAGTCAGTTTTTTTATAGCAGTGTGAGAATGAACTAATGTGATAGATTACTATATACAT